CCCTTTAGGGAGGTGATTTCTCACTTCCCTTCTCACTGGCTCTCTCTCCACAAGTGCCTGGCACTAAGCAAAAACCTCTTAAAAAAAATAGGATTTAAAAAGTGACACAATGACCCTCAATAGCCTACAGATATATTGAATAAATCTAACCCAAACTGCTTTTCCTGTATGCTCTAATATTCCAGGGCTGAAAGCTAAAAACCAGCAATCATTCAACATACTTCAATAAAGTTTCTCCATTAAAATTAATTATTCTAAATTGTCTATTACCCTCCAGAAATTTAATCAGTTATGGATGGATCCACCACAAAGGTGTTTTTCTACAATATTCATTCAGTAAAAGTGTAAATATTCTATCACCTATTTCTCAGAATTACCTTCAATTCTCAAAAAGACAAGAGACATCAATTTAACTCTCTGGCTCAGTAAGATAAAGATGTCCTTAAAATTTGGTTGGGTTTTAGCCAATTCAGGGTATACTGTGTTGCATAAAAAGGTTTGGGCTGAGGGCATAATCACTGAGGTGACAGAATAAGCATCTTGAATCAAGATGACCAGAAAAACAATGGAAATGTAAATACCACATTATGATCACATTCATAAATCAACTTGGGCAACATAAACATTTTTCTGACTAAAAAAGATATGTGAAAACAGCAAGATAAGATAAAGAGCATTCCTTTTGTCCTCTATTCCCTCACTTACATTAATTCTTTAAATTTAAAATAAATTTTAAAATATTAAAAATTTTTAAATATTAATTTTTTTTGTAGAGAGATTTTTGCTACAGGGCACGTGTGCTTGCCAGAGAGACAGCGAGACAGAGGAACCAGCAGTTGGCATAATGGCTATGTTGCTGGACTCTCATGTCATCGACCGCAGTTCAAGTACCGGACCTGGTGGCTTAAACTCATGTCGGGTGCGTGTGCGTGCGTGCCCAAGATCCAAGGAGGAAAATAAAGGAGGAGTTGCAGAGTGACCATACCCTCTAGGGGACGATTTCTCGCTTTCTGTCCCTCTGTCTCTCTCTCCATCTTCCTGGTGAGTGCACGCACCCTATAGCAAAAACCTCTCCACAAAAAAAGAGACAGAGAAACAGAAAGTAAGAAGGCATACCCCAAGGGGGATGGCCACACTGCAGTCTCTTCCATTCTCCTCTCAGGATTTCACACACACACACACACACACACACACACAAACACACGCCTGACATGAGGTTTTATAAGCCACCAGGTCTGAGACTCAAACCGCAGTCGACTACGTGGGAGTGCAGCTACCTAACCATCACGTCATCCACTGGTCCATAAAAATTTTTTTCACTGCTGTTCTTTACATTAATGATTCTCAAGTAACCATTAAGAAAAGCATAACCTATATATTGCCTGTAAAATAATAAAACTGTGTTTTTCTGTGATGGTGAAAATTTCCTTACAAACTAATTGTTTAACTTAATTACTAATGCCAAATAAAATTTTCTACAAACATTAAAACGTTAACAAGAGGGACCAGCAGTTAGCGTAATGGCGGTGCCACTGAACTCCCATGTAGTTAACCACAGTTTGAGTCCTGAACCCAGTGTCTTAAACTCATGGCAGGCACATGCCCAAGATCCTGAAAGGAGAATGGAGGAGAAGGGATTGCGGCGTGGCCATCCGCCCTGGGGGGTGATCTCTCGTTTTCTGTCTCTCTGTCTCTCTGGTGAGCTCATGGGCCCTATAGCAAAAACCTCTCCCCGCCCCCACCCCCCAAATAAAAACTTTAACAAGAAAGACTTTCTGTTAAAATAACATTGCAACTTCCTTAGGGGATAAAGAGTTTTTCAATATTCTCAAATAAATGCAATAATGATTATAACAAACCACCTTCTGTTTATAGGAAACACCAGATTGTTGTAGGGTCTCTTGTTCCATGTGTATCCACACAAACATCAAACATGACAGCACCAAGGGAAAGAGAGCTTCGTACCTGAGGAGGGAGGAACAGAGGTAGAAAAGGAGAGAATAATCATTAGGCACATGAAGATGCAAATATATGCTGACAGGTCTCTCTTAAAATTAATGTTGGTAATCATTTAAGTTACAATTGGCTTTCTAGAAAAAGAAGGCAAGAAGAAAAGCAATATTTAAATTTCAAGTCTAACAATATCTCCTTTAAAATCTATTAAATCTTGAGATAATTACGTTTAAAAAACAGTAATACCTACATGTTTGGAGGGGGGTGATTAAATAGTGTGTGGTGCATTTATAGGCTGGAGTTTAATGTAGAGACAAAAACAAAGAGGAAATGCTTATGAGATTACAGTGACAAGCCTTTTCTACATAGTTTCTACCCTAGTTTGGGATAAACGTTCCCCTTTGTAATCCCAAAATGCCCTATTGTACTTACACTGTTTTAAACATGTTTACTTGTATGTATCTCCTACTAGATTAGAAAATCTTTGAAAACAGACTCTATGTCTATCTTCTTACCACTTACAACTCACAATAACAAAATGACCAAAAATAGAGAAATGGCTAAGCAAATCAAGGTGCATCTACATCATGAGATATTAAAAATATCTATTAAAATGTTAGCCAGAAAGCCTAGAGCCACCTGGGAAAATGCTTCCAGAATAATGTCAAGCAGGAAAAAAATAAATACAAAATAGTATGTGTACTATGATTAATTCTGTATTAAAAAGACAAATACAGAGCTAAGGCTGAAAAGAAAGATATTAGAACGTCAAGACGAGGAGTACGGTTAGTAAAATATTTTATCTTATCCCTATTTTCCCAAATGTGGTGATACTATTTTTATAATGGTTTTTAAAAAATAACTGAAAAACAAAGATTTAGAATGTCTGTCTCTTGGCCACTCTGAAGTTTAGTTTACCTTCCACAGAAGTGCTTGATGGCTCCAACTCAGCTCCCCTACTCGAAATCTTTCTCCAGGCATTCTTTAAATCATACAATCCACAACTTAATTAACTCACGATAACTTAATTGTTCTAGCTTGTAATTGTCTAGCCCTGCAAACTCTGGTCTTAATTTTAAATCAGCTTATAACTGCCGCATGTCTGCAGTACAATACAGTCATTGTCCTCTCTGTATGGCTGTGAGGCAGGAGAAAGCCAGCAAATGGAAGCGGGTGAGGGGGCTGGAGCATCTGTCCATGTGGCTAGATACAAAAATCCCGATGAGGGCAGAAAATTCCCCACCCAAGGTAATGTAGGCAAGAGATTAGTGGGGGATGTCTAGCTGACTAAGCCACATTTAATATAGCCAGTGAGATAAATCGGTGGACCCAGTGGAATTTGATAGAGCCAATAAAATGAGAGCACTCAGTGGACCCAGCCAGTGATCAACCAACATGACCCAGATTAAAAGTGACGAATCCAGCAGAGTGCAACTGTCGGGGCCTTCTGAGCCACTCTTCCTCTGTACGCTCAGACCCACTCCCATTTCTCAGGAGTGCACGTTTGCTTTTATTTAATAAACTTCCTTTTCTTAATACTATTGGCATTTTTCATTCAGTTCTTTGAAACACCAAGAACCTGGATAGCATCACAGAAGCCATCCAGCAAGAGCTGCACAGTGCTCAGGGTACTGGAGATGGGAAAGAGAAAGCCCACTGCAGATGAACTAGATCAAGGAGGTTTGTATCTGAGCAAAAGGGGACCGAGATTTTTACAAACCTTTTTACAGTTACAAAGTTCTTTTTTTCCTAATATAGAAAAACAAATTCCACAGCTCTAAATAGTTCTACAGATTTACTGAAAACTATACACTACATTCACTTTCTTTCATAAAACGTAGATGACTAAATGTGATAAAGATACTCTTTCTATGGAACTTTATCTCTTAAGGCAGTATTTTGTATGAGGATTGACTATGTAATTAATAAACTGGAATACCAAAAAAATGTCTTCGCAGGCTCAAAGAAAACATAATAAAATCTCACCAAGTTAGGATCTGCTCATTTGTATTTTAAGTGAGACTGAAAAAGGCAATGAGGTTTACATTATAGTTTGCTAAATAAAGTGATAATTAAACAAAAATTCAGAGGGAAATGGTGCACCAACTTAAGAGCACAAAGTATTTTCAAGTATTATAATATCTTCCATTTGCATAAAAATAAGGGCTGATTAAAAATGAATCTTCTTTATTCATTAAATTAAGGATGCATTGTTACAATTTAGGATTATCACTACAGTATTTCTGTAATATAATAAAACTACATTTCTTTTAAATATCCTATAATTCTGAATATTGACTGATTTACATAGAGAACCCTTCAGGACATCCAAAATAATGATGCTAAACTGTAACAGGTAGACTATTTTATACAACTGACTTGGCACTGGGAAAACCTCTGGTAACTGAAGTGATGAGACCACACTACTTCAAGATACCCTTGTGAATTGTTTTGCAAAGCTAAACAGCTGCTGATATTGAACAATATATCTCTTCATACAATAATTGATAAGGTCATACTCCATATTAATATTCTGACTGTAGGCATGAACTTTCACTTTTTAGATTTTTCTTAAAAGAATTTAAATGTAATTATGATAATCACAGCTTCTCTCATGACTTCTGAATTGATGGCATAATAAATAATACTTACCCCCCATGTAAGTTATATATGCATTCTACATTATACAATAGTTTTCTCACATTCAAAATTAAACTTCAAAAATCCTTCCTTCTTCTTTCATTCTAGTGCAGTATACCAGATCTATTTCTAGGTTTGTTTATAATCTACAACTTCCTTTGAATGTGTTTGCTTTAGAATTCAAAGATTCAAAAAAAGAAAAGGGCTTATGGATTAATAAATAACTGTATAGAAGTTAGCACCCATCTCTGGAGCCTCTCAAACATTTACCACCTCAAGTCAACCTCTGAGTGTAATTTCCTAATAACATTCAGATGTCACCTCAAAATTGTGGCTTAGAATAGAAATGATTTTAACTTTTGCTTTCTTATCTGGATTAAAACTTGTGTTTATGCTAAATCATTTTCACTTTGATGTACTATAATTTAACAAAATTATTAATCCTATGATTGCACTATTAAATGGAGAAAGTGGGAAAGGTTTTAACATTTCACGATGTTTAAACTCTTCAATAATAAGAGTCAGATGCTCAAAAACTACAAATTTTTTAAAGAGAATTATTTATTTAATTTTATTTATTGTTATTATTTTTAAATTTGATGAGAGACACAGAAAGAGAGAGCAGGAAGGTGAGAGAACAAGCTGCCAGGTGTGGG